GCCCTTGGCTTCCGTATATCAGGGAGCGATAACGGTTGCCCTACGCCACGAGGGCGACACGAGGAGTCCGCGACGTATGCACGTTAATATCATCGTCCGTATTAGCGCGCGTGTTATATACGGCGCAATTAGAATATCACACGGTATATCGGCGAATTATGCGGGAGACGAGGTGCAAAAAACATCACTGATGTTGCGCGCGCGATGCTCCGTGGATATTACTCCTCTCTCTCTCTCTCTCTCTGTCTATCGCGATACTTTCGACGTTGATGAATATATATCGCCCACTTGTTGACATTATATAAATCCGTAATCTGTTGAGTCTTATCGGCGTCGGGTCTGCCGTGTATCAGCATTGTGATTATTATTTCGCGATAATCCGGCCGCGCGCAAAAGACCGAACAGTCCGGCCGGTTTGACGTAAACGTGGTGTCTCGTGTCTGTCCACACTGCGGATACTGTAACAGCCCGGATCGAAATTTTGGCTCCACACTAGCCTTACAAATTCCATCGAGCTTGGAAGAAACTATATATACGCAGGAAAAGTGCTGTTGTATAAAAACTGTTTAACTACGCTATAATCGGGGTAAACTTTCTCTCGACTCAATTGCAATATTATCGCAACTAATACATCATACATAGAGAAAATTGTTGTAGTAAAAATCACCATAAAATTGCATAATGTTATAACGAACCGTACTGGAATTATGATTGAACCGTACTGAAATGATTACGTGTGTTGTAATCTTCATTGATGTCTACACATAAAATGCATCACAAAACTTATAACATATATCATAATTATAACATTAACATAATAAATTACAGCATGCATCATAATTTCAGTCATAATTCCAGAGTGTGACCCAGCATTATAAAATTATGCGCCAATTTTTACTACAATATTTTCTCCGTGTACATTGTTCTTTTACTAACTCGAATATTAGTAATATAGTCTGTTCGAATATTAGTTTCAATAATCGATTTTTTCAAGTAAATTATAATTCAGATAATAAATAATTATGCCATTTCCCCCTCGCGTAGCATTATTCTTAAAAAGGGACTATCCTCCATCTGAATATTCGACTGCACACTTCATTTTTCGCGCGTTCTTTCCCTGACCCGTGATTATTCGCATCCTGCTGCTCGCGAGACTCGCGAGTGACGTTTGGCGCGTGCATACGACGTGCACAATAATACAACATCAACATTGATGAAATATGCAACACCCAGTGTTTGCGTGATACGCATACATGCGGGCCGTGCGCGCACACATTCACCCGCCGCCGACATAATGAGTAACAACGCAGTTCGATGATTTTCGTAACCGTTGCGTTACATAATCACCGTTACCCTACGGATATCAAGCGTGATGAAATATCTGGATTAATTGCGGCGCGATCGTGCCGAAGCACGCTGCCATGCGTTAATTGGCCACATCATTACGACTGACGGGCATTAAGAACACTATTCGGCGCTCTCGCCGTACGCGCGGCCACGACAGCGGCGACGGCTATCCCGAAAATACGAGCGGGATTTTCCCGTTCCACCGTCGAAAGTACCTATGACCGATCTCGCGAGTGCAATTTCATTAGTCTAATGGATTTCAATGCTCGAGGCTGTAATCCGCAATTTTTTGCCGGCCGCGGTACGGAAAATTGGATAATTCATGAGAATCCGAAGTAACGAAAGGGAGAATGTGACGCGCCGGGAGCGCAAAGAAACGCCTGGCAGCTTTGGAGATCGAGTCAACTGCGCACGAACGATTAAAAAACAATGGGAGAAAAAAGAAATGAAAGGGAGAAAAAGAGAAAGAGAGAGAGAGAGTAAAACGGAAAGAAAGGGGAGAGGGAGAGAAAAAAGAAAATAAGGAAGAGGGAAAATAGAAAAGACTCGGTCTGAAATGGCCAGAAACAACGGCGGTATTCGGACAATTCAGGAACAACGCAATTACTCTATCACAATAGACCGCGCCAAGCTGCGAGCTCTTCGGTGTACGGCGTCTTGCGCGTCCGAGCAAACTCGTGAAGCCAGAATGAAATTTTCGCGATCCTTTTTACCGTTCAATTAATCGTCCGGGAATATTGAAGGGTCTCGAGGGCATCGTTCCTGCCGAAACCGTTTTAACAACACCGACAGATAGATGTACACTCGGTTGCAAAACGGTTTAGACACATTATTTCTGATAAAGTGAGGAGGTAATCAAATAGTCATGATTGCGAGCCATTATTCAAAGCCTGAGTAATAATCCATTATCACAGGTACCGAAATGATAATATATGAGACATCTCATGTCACAACTGAAACAGAGGATTCAGAAAAAACACAAATTTCTTTATTATATTCTCATCTATCGAATAAAATATAATAAAGGAACAATAATTATATCGTGTATTGTCACTTTAGTTCCTGTCATAACCGACTATTACGCAAGCCTTTCAATAGTGACCCATCAATAACGGTCAGTAATTGTGATAACTCGAAATGCTAACTTCATTGGAAAAAATGTAAATCTAAACTATACTGCAGCCAAGTGTACAGCCAGCGTCATGAATGTCGCGCACCATATAGAGTAAACAATTTTGTATTAAATTTGACACTTTTCACATGTTCCAAACAGTCCACTCAAATTTTTGCGTTGATTTAACGCAAAGTGAATATATATCAAGAAGTAATATAACTTATTTAAAAATTAATACAAGAAATGTGATACTTTGATATTATTTTTAAGCAAATCTTATAGAAAAATAACATATTTATAATATTAAATGTAACTAAGAGAAAATGTTATTTTTACATTTTTTTCATTACGCAGATATATCCTACGAGCATGTGTCATTAGTATCCTGTATCCTACGATATGGCAGCTCCGGTGTTATGTTATGACACAATCTTTATAGAATTTTATTACTGCTAGGCTAGTGATTAATTACTCATTTTGAATGTTTAAAATACTGTTGTTAGTAATTCGTAATGATTAAATTATGGAGCAGTGATCCCAAATATGCAATAGGGTTGTTTAGGATTGTAGTGATTAAACACTACCTTATCATTAACATGAATATTTAAATACTAATGCTTAATAGCGCAGTAGTGGTGAAATATATACTCTTGCAAAAATTTAATACTGGAAATTACTGAATTTGCAATAATTAAATATTGAGAAAGCGATGGAAGTATAGTAGATAGTGAACATATATCAAATAAGTGTTCGATCTTACATGTATATGCGTAAGGCTGAAAATCATAACCTTCAATCTAAAAAATGTTGTTGCATACATGACACCAGCTGTACCGGTGGTGCGAAACATCGGTCAATTCCGGAGCTCGAATCGATACAACCATAGCGAGCGGGCGGAGGGGTGAGAGGTATGAAAGTGAAAAATCACGGGGTTGCAAAACGAGAGAATATATTACATTTATTACCACACGAGCAGCGAGACGTTCTTATTTACGTCGGCCACACGAAACGATTTACACTAACTATCTAATTTAGAATTTAATTGCGTTCCGGTGACGCCAACGTCCGCTCTACAATCGCCTTCTACATATTTTACCCCTTTCGTTAATTAAGCCCGCAAGCGGTCGCGCGCGCCCGCTCGAGTAAAGCAAATCTGGAATGTAGATTTCGCCGCGCTGGCTGTTATAACATCGCGGCGGGCAAGGGGAATAATTTACTTTTTCAACAGCTTCGTATGTCGCGTCCGAGCTAGTTATACTGCCTTTTCACAGAACTTCACAGCTCGTAAACACACGGAACGAGAACAACACCGGAGGGGTATTGGCGCGCTTTCGTGACGCGCCCGTTAATTTAAAACAGATCGTGCGCGCGCGAGTCGTGCACTCGTGCAGAGCGATCACGCGCGATGTTTGGAGGCGAGAACGAATTTTTAGTTTACCGTCTCAGTCGTTCACGGAACACCGTCGAAGCACTCTACTCCTGGAGGAACGATCCACGTGCCAGCCCGCGCGTGACATTGCGTCGCTATCGTTCGACGCGACTTAGCGATCGGATTCGAAAAAAGCGCGGCTTAAAGGGACCGCTCGAGCGAAAATTGTAATGTTATAAAACAACGGATTTATAATCTTAAATGGAAATAGGGCGGACGAAACGTACACCTGCGCGACACACATTCACATACACGCGCGCTCGTGCGCTCACTCACTCACAGAAGCGCGGTCTAAGAAACGGCTCTTCGAACGTTCCAAATTCACTCCTATCGGTGAATCCCGTAAACGGGAAAGTTTGTCTCAGTGATTCGGTGTAACGTCCAGAATGCCTCGTTTGATATTTGAAACGCGAACTCGCGCGGATTTGATATCTTCCTGTGCTTAGCACGATCGGTCGATCGAGAATAACGGTACGATTCGATAACGGCGCGAATAAGAAAGCGGAATAAGTTTTATTTGGCAGCCTCGTTACCATTTTCTCCCTGTCTCTCTCGACTATTTCCTTCTTAATTCAATCATAAAACGGGTGTTCTATGCGGTAAAAAATCATTAAGACAACTGGGGACGCGTTCTGTTAGATATGCCGAAAATATTTCTTTTAGTTATGAGGTTGGTAGTTTTGTAATTAACTTTGCCGTGTTCCGTAATGGATCGGCTGATATCATGATTTTCACGGAGAAAATATAGTAATAAAATTACTAGAAAATTTTGTAATGTTGTGCCATACCGGAATTATGACTGAAATTATTACGTATGATGTACACTTTAGTGATGTGCACAGTGAAGTATGCCAATGAAGATTACAATACACATTATAATTTCAATTATAATTTCAGTGTGATACAACATATGGTATAGTCCGGTATAATATGGTATACATCCAGTATGGTCGAATATTATAAAATTTTCTGGTAATTTTTATTACAGTAATTTAATAAATAATCAATAATTAATCCCTCCGTATATCTTGTCCACCAGCCTTTTTACTAGTCTTTGCTCACGATCATATTTGATAAAGATGGATAAAGTATGGAAAAGAGGATGGAGTAATGGATAAAGTAGACGGAAATCATAATATAAGATCCATCACGGAACACAAAGGTAATTACGAGAGGAGAGAAAAAGGAATATTTTCAACACTTCTAACAGAACGCATCCGGGTATACGTATATCGCACATAATAACGCGCCGGTATCCCGTCGGATTTAGCGGTACGAGCGGGAGAAATCCAACGAACACGAGCAGGTGCTGTGCGCGCTGATCGATCCCGCGTGTCCTGCTTAAGTGGAGGACGTCGTTTTGGCGAGACCACATGGAGGGTGATCAGACCCAGCGGAGGCTAACGGAAGGAAAGTCCTTTACGGTACACGGTACGGTACATTACACGCGGGAGCCAGCAACGAGAAGATAAATCGCCCGCTTCTTTCGGCCGCGCCCGAGATCATTCCCCGCTAGGTTGAGAACGCGAGATTCGCGATAGTCACATCAGCGACGAGTCTCGGGGGTTTTTATTTGTCGATCGCCAATCGGCGACCCCGGACGCCGGCAAAACGGGATTGCCGGCGCGACAAATATTTTTCATCTCCTCGAGTTTCGAAATTCTCGCGCGCTGAAAGCGAAGCCGTCCGTCCGTCGTTGTCGGCGGGGGAAAAAGCTGGCAGAACGAAACTGCGCAATGAAATTAATGAGAGGGAGTATGGACGGAAAGGGACAAATTACTTTTCTGGCAGACGTTCCATTTCACGCACAATTTAACCGCGCGATCTCCGTAAAAGGCGTTTGCATGATTGCTTTGCTTGGGATATAGTTGAAAAGAAAACGATCAACGCGCGCCTGGGGGGACAGGATCAGGCGAGCGCATCGCACTCCGCTTTTACCTAATCACTTTTGTGATGGCTCGATTAATCTTTCTCGCCCGTGGAAATCGGAGCTATTGCTCGAATCGAAGATGTTCGTGACGCGAGACTGCACAGTCGCCGCACTCGGAGACCCGGGGCAATGGGGAATGAAGAATCGCTTCGGCACGTCGCATCAATCTTCCGCGTATAACTACCAATAACTAGTAATACTGGTTAATAGTGGGAACCTCTAATGACTAGTAATGAGTAGTAACTACCTATGTAGGAATCGTATAGATTCGGCTGGCACGGAAGACTGGCGAGGTACCAATTCAGTAATGAAATACGGATTTCATGTTACGATGCCAATGCGTTAAATACGAAAGCAGGAGATGTCATTAACATGGAGTCTAAATAGCTCAGTGGTAAAAGCGGTTGCTTGTGGCAAGCGGAAGACCCGAGTTTCGACCCCAGCCGAGTCTGACGTTTCGCTCCAATGTTTTCATCTCGTACGGCATTAAAAGTGGATATCTGCAGATACAAACATCCTGCAATAATTCTGACCTTTTCTTCCACAGTATAATATAATACACACGATGTTATAATTGTATTATTAACAAGTATATGGTAATAATAACACAATGGTACACAAAATTCTCTCCGAAGCGCGATATTACGTCTCACGGAGATTTTTTTATGCAAACACGAGGCCATTGGTAGAATTTGCTTAGCAAACATGACGTTTTATCTCTTAATATTATAAAATCTCTAGAAAACGTACTATCATACATCGGAGAGAAAAAAAGCGATTGTTTGTCCTATTGTGTAATCAATACTGGTAATCGGTACTGTTTCAGTATTGATAATTGATATTTCGATAAGTATTAGTAAGTATTGAGAATTGATCATTTTTGGCACTTTTGCAATATAGAGAATCGATACAATTACAATACTGTCTTTCGAGCCTTGGCCCATTGCCACCATTCCATTATTCCACCAATATCAAATTAGTATTGGCATTTAGTACACAGAGGAAAATATCAATGCTAAGAAAAGCGATTGCTCAATTTATCTTCCTTTTTAAAATAATAATTATCTTCAACAAACAAATATTTTTTTTCCCTTAATAATAGTCTTAAAATAAAACTTTTTTTCCTTGATAACAGTCTTAAAATATACTCGTCACAAATTTTGGAAAAGCTCATTATCACGTACTCAGAGGAAGAATTTATTTTCTTTTAAAAAATATAAACTCTATCGAAGAAAAATTAAATTTGGTTAATATGAATAAGCAAATCAAAATTTGTCTTAATTTAATATTTTTGATTGAAATACTAAACTTACTAGGATTCAGAATATATTTTGAATAAATTTGATGCTTATGATGAATTTATGATGTATTTATGAATATATAACACTGAAATACTTGAAACAAGTAACGTTTACTTAAATACAGTGTGTATCTTCTTATGTATTGTTAATTAAAAATCGGTACCCAACAATTATTATTTACTTGGGTACTAATAACTAACCACTGGTAACTATACTAATAAATAACATATAACTAATAATCGCAATTGTAATAACGAGTCTCTCAATTAGCGATATTCCCGAAATATCCCGGCGTTAATAACTACCATCGAATTAAGGGGTGAAAAAGTTACGCACGAACGTTCTGAGTGTATATCTGTCTGATCTCTTGTTCTTTTGTTACACGAAAGCAGCCACGAACGCTAATTATCGCGCAGCCGACGTTGGAGAGGTGGGCGCGATGACGAGATTAATCGAATTTCTCGCCACGGTAGGATCGTTCCTTCTGATAATGATTACGCTGCCGTTCTCCCTCTGCTGTTTGTTCAAAGTCGTGCAAGAGTACGAGAGGGCTGTCGTTTTCCGGATGGGTCGCTTGAAAGGCGGACCTCGTGGCCCAGGTAAATCGTCCACTCATTTTCGCATGAGTCGCGTTTCAATGCTTTGCTGGTTTGTTCTCGTCGTTTCTTTCTCAAATCCGATGTTGTTATTATTTGACACGTTCGCTCCCACCGTAGTCACACATGTGTGACATGCTTACTCACCGAAAGACCGATCATTCACAGATAAAATATTGTAATAAAAATGTTGTAATGCTGGACTCTACCGGAATCATGACTGAAATGATTGTGTGTGTTATAATCTTTAACAATGTGTATACATGAAACATATTATTAAAGATTACCACACATATCATCACTTCTGTCATAATTCCGGTGTAGTCCAGCATTACAAAATTTTGCGGTAATTTTTATTACAATATTTTCTCCGTGCAGATGTGTAACAATACCAAGTTTTCATTCTACATTCACATAAGCAATTTAACTATTTGTCAGATGCTACAGACATCGATTCGTATATCCAATCCGCCATGTGTTAAGTTTGTTTCACAGTGTCACAAGTAAAAAATACCAGATGGTGGAAACGATTTCTCAATGAATCATGGTAGAGAATGCGTTAAGAAGACGTAAGAATACGTAAAAAAGACACATATCTTCGTTTGATTTCTCCATAGGCACTTTCGTCGTGATGCCGTGTGTCGACTCCTGCGTGCGCGTCGATCTCAGGACGGTGTCCTTCGACGTGCCGCCGCAAGAGGTGCTCACCAAGGATTCCGTCACCGTGAGCGTCGACGCAGTCGTCTATTACCGCATCAAGGAGCCTTTAAACGCCGTGATTAAAATTGCAAATTACAGGTACGGAACGATAATGTCACGAGATCTGGTTCGAAACGAGACGTTAGACAAGTTACGACGGAGACGCGAACGCGGCGAGATACCGCGTGGAAAAAAAATACCTGCGCAGTAAAAAATGTTGTGTTTAATTTAACACATTTCATGTGCTGCTTTTGGATCATTAATTAAGCAGCTATGTCTGTATGTGCGTTCGATTGACATATCGATTTCTTGACTCGCCACTGTTAATTATCTTATTTCGCGTTCGAGCCGGCGGTCTTCGCTCCTCCGTTCTTCCGACTTTTTGTGTCTCGCCCGACGAATTTATTTCCGTGGCTGGCCGCGAAAGCGTTTTACACTCAGTGAGTTTTTCCTTCGGTTACACATCGCGTCTTCCTCCTATCGTACGCGGCTGCGACATGGCATTTAAATACTTGATTGTGCGCGCCTTTTTCCCGGTCTTGTCTCCGCTCACTTGCTCGCTGTAATCTTCGTTTCCGTTCCCGGCCGTCGCGAGAATCCGAGACGATACGCGTGCGACGGTACAATGAAAGTAAGCTGATTGCAGGGACGTTAAGGGCTTTTTCGGGACCGCAACCGGCGAACCGCAGCAACGAGCTTTCCGCTACTTACGAAGTTTGCTATGACGTAATAATTCTCGGTTTATTTCCGTCGGTGCACGGCTCAAATAAGCGCCGTTGAAAGCGCGACGCGGCGTAGAATTAATTGATACGGCGACATAAACACGATACGCAATTTATATTCATATGTGGCACAAGCACTCTCGAAATTTCTTGGAGTAAAATCGCACTCAAAACTAATGAAAATTCATTTTAACTAAAATACTCAATCACATGGAACATATATTATATATATATTTTGTGATACACATATATATCAGAATTTTTGAAGCATTTTTGAAGTATTTTAGTATAACAATTGCAAGTATTTTTCGTCTTATTTCTAAAAATATATGAAAAAATTCGTAAAAATAATATAAAAATAAACGAAACATCGAAAAAATTATTTTTTACCTGGAAATTTAGGGTATACATGTCGCACCACTTCGGGAAATTAGGATTCAACAACTCAACTCGAACTTAGGGTACATTCTTACGAATTGTCTACCGTCTACTCCTATAATAGATTGCGTCCTCATGTAGGACGAAAGTCGGAAGGTAGCGGGCGTGCGAAAAGGGTGATCGACATTCTCGTTGACTGTGAATTCTCTCCATCCTCTCCTGGGAGGTGGGAGTGAATATTTCAATCGATCAGAATGAATTTATTGCTATGCGACGGTGAAGTATAATACGTCGGACCCAACTTTGAGTGAAAAAATCCACTTAACTTGGATTCGGAGCGAGGGAGATTCATTCTGTATGAGGAAGAAGTTCCTCGGGTTCCGGCGCTCGGCTTTCCGGAAGTGAAGTTTCGCTCGAATAAATTTCAAAAGTACAGCATAAAGTGACGCTCTGCAAGGAGGGAAAAAAAAGAACCGGAATTAATTCCCGCGGAAACGGATAGCCTCCTAACATTTCTTCCTCGTGTCCTCAGACGACGGCATATTTGACCGTAAGCTGTCATCGCGCGGTAACAGAGGCGTTAATGCGCGGCACCGTCGTAATAGCGCTTTTACAGTCACGTCGTGGGAGTCGCCGCGCGCGTAGTAGCGTAGCCGGTATTTCTGGTCCGTTAAAAATCACGAGAAATGGTCGACAGCGTGTCGACGTCCGGCGTCCGTTCCGTGGGGGTTTAATAGCGCCGTCGTGCAGGCACGGCGCTACCCAGCGCCGGGCTCGTTCACGGTTTGCCGCCCCGGCGAGTCAGTCCGCGTCACCCCCTTCACTTACTTTTCCAGCCATTCGACGCGGTTACTGGCCGCGAGTACGCTGCGAACGGTCCTTGGCACGAGGAATCTCGCCGAGATCCTGTCGGAGCGGGAGACCATTTCCCACACCATGCAGACCGCCCTGGACGAGGCAACGGATCCTTGGGGAGTCAAAGTCGAGCGGGTTGAGATGTGAATATTTTACCTCGATATTTTAGCGCATCGTATTTGCGAGAACGGAGCGACTGTTGTATTCTCCCTCCACCCATCCCCTCGCATCCCTTGGTGCAGCTTGTCCATTTCAGTAATTAATTTGTTGGTTACTTAGGCCGACGGAGAGAGAGAGAAAGAGAGAGAGGCCGGGATACGTCATTTTAAGCGCGAGTGTATGTTTGTGTAAACAAATATTTGTTTTTGTTGAGAAAAAGTGAGAGAGAGATTTACACTATAACCATTTAAAATGTATTGTATGTATTTTACGGAATCGCAATTTCCTGGCTCTCTCAAATTTCGCCGTGGAACCACGAATTGTTCAATTGATTACATCAGTTTACAGAAAAATATAATTTTTTTTTAATTACTTTGAAACAAACCAAATGTATCTTATAAATTTTTGGGTGCCGAAAACAATGCCGTGATTTCAAAACTGGCGCGACAGTGGCCCGATAAAAATAATGCGCTAACGAAAATGTATCTCGTCCGGCGAGGGAGGAAAGAAGGAAGAAGGGAGAAAAAAGAAGTACAAATATGCGTGGCGCGATTTAAAATTTAAATGTTCGCCGTGAATCCGTGTTCGTGCGCAAAACAGGTCGACGACCGTTCGGTCGTTCATTTGTCTGCCCGTCGGTGCGACCGATGAAATTTCGCAGTTGGGCAGAACGAATCGATACGCTTACATTTATCGACGGAGAGAGTTATTAAGGAGTAATTAGATTACGGCAATATATTGCGGAACGCGCGCGCGCGTGCGCTACAACATGGTAATATTACTACTTCGATATTAACTCTTTGCGTTCGTATGTCATGACGCGATGGACTCGCTGCGAATATTTAATAATGATTGCACACACACACACATACACACACATGCGCGTGCACGCACGCCCATACAAACGTACATACATTTCCGCTCACACGCGAGGATTGACTGTAATGTATATAAATAACATTCATCGAATTTCTATAACGCGTATAGTTCGCGCAGTGAAAATTAATAACTACATAACGGAAAAGCCTGACACAACGTTAAAGTAAGAATGCGTCATTTAAAAAAAAAAAGAAAAAAAAACAGGGCGCTAGGATTTTATTAAAAAATCTGAAGCAGAAGTGCGAAATCGGTCGATACCGAAAATGTTCGATATCAGATTTTTAAGATTACTTCGCGGATTAACGCGCGCTTGATAATCGCGGCGCGATTTAACGAGCGACCGTACGGATACGCGGCGCACGAGCCGTTCCCTAATAGTTTCGAAGCCGCTCACAAGTCCCCTCGCATGCCCATCCATGAATTCGTGCTCCCCGCACTCCCGCGTCTGCCCGAAACGGATATCTAACGGATGCCTCTGCTTCAGAAAGGATGTCCGACTTCCGGTACAGCTCCAACGAGCCATGGCCACGGAGGCGGAAGCTGCGAGGGAGGCGAGGGCCAAAGTGATTGCGGCGGAAGGAGAAATGCGAGCTTCCCATTCCCTGAAAGAGGCCGGCGACGTCATTTCCACGAGTCACGCCGCCCTGCAGGTACACCCTAGTGGCTGCTCGAATTTTCTACTCCCCCCCCATTCCGCGCCGCCCTCTCTCATTCTTTTCCGTCATCCGGCGCGACACGACGCTAATGATCAAATACCGCTGATTATCGAATCATACGGCGTCGCCGCATGATTGCATTCGCGCGTATTACTCGTCATTCTCTTTCCCTCTTCTCACTTTTCCTCATCCTCGACCCCGTTTTAACTTTTATTCGATTTCCACGTTAGAAATTAATACTCACCCGTGGCGATCGCTCTTGCTTTAATTGGAACTGCATTAATATTTTCTGGTCCAGTAATTCGCAAAGTCCGTGTTCGTCGTCGAACAATCACGCTGGCCGCGAGAGGAAGGAAACGCGTTTAACTCGATTAATTAACGAGCGCCACCTCTGTAGAATGATTTTTTTTTTCAAAAGCTTCAGAATTGCCGGTGTATGCGCCGTCCTGAAAAAGGGGGAAAAACAAACACGCGCGGAATGTGCAGCTTTATTTAGCTATTTGCTGTGTATTTATTAATAAACGCGGCATCGCGCGCGCTCCTACGCACACGCGTGACTCGTCAGTACGCGGTGTGATTAAACGGGAATCGCGTGGCCCGCTGCGTAATAATTAAAAGATAATAGGTGGGAAAAGTTCCGTTATATTTCGCATTCTTGTGTGTCGATAGCTGCGATACCTGCAAACCCTAAACAATGTATGCGGCGAGAAGAACTCAACGATCATATTCCCGTTGCCGGTTGAATTCCTGGCGCCTCTACTCGCCCCTAGCTCGCACGGCAATCAGGAAACTACGCGGCCGACACTCTCATAGGGGCGAAGGGTAAACATTAAAAATCGCGATAACGGTTTCACGACTGATTCGTATAAACTGAGGCGATTGTAACTGCGATCGCTGCACGCGCGAGAAAGAGACGCGCGATGTGTGTGTGTGTGTGTTGTTGCATCGTTGCTTGCAAACAATTACGCGATGGGACGGTGAGAGACGAAGATATAAAATAAAAATCGAATAACACACAGTGTATAAGTATTTCGCTAATTTAATTAGATTGTTTTTGCATGTGCAGCTTTGTTTTTGCGACATCGCATATCGCACGCTTCGCCATGCGATTTTCGGGGAACTTTAATTAAAAATTTAATTTAACATAAATTAAAATTCTGCAATGATGAAACCCGGTCAAAATTAATAGGAGATTCGTACGTTCCGTTTCGCAATCTGCGCATCGTACCGCCGCGCCGAGTCGAAATTTCGGTTTTACGTTGAACCTACAAATTTCCTCGAATTGGGAAAATCAATGACGAACTTCGAAATGTGACAGGTTATTCAAACTATTTTACTGTCTTTTGACGCGAGCGGTTACCGCAGCTTTCTTAAGCTGAAGAAGAAAGATTTACATACGAATTATTTAATGTTCAATTATTTTAACAGCTAAAATTTTGGTTTCGCATTAACTCCGCAAATTTCCTCAAATTGGAAAGATCAATGGAGAATTACAAAGTGTAATAAGTTATACAAATATTATCTTTTGACGCGAACGGTTACTGCAGCTTCCTCAAGCTGGCGGAGAAAGGTTTACATACGAATTATTTCACGTTCAATTGTTTTAAGTCCGTCTGCATTTTCAAATCTTACTTGATTCTCAATTTCAATAAGTAACATATTAATTACGCCGATTAATCATTTGTACATAATGGCCCATATTTAGAACATGCTTATAACGACGTTAGCGCGCTAACAAGTCAATTTATTAATAATTCTAAGCGGATAGTTTGCTATAAAAACACGTAATTATCGATTTTTCTTAACGGAGCATTGTTATTATCACGTTTACAATACAAACGATACTAAGGAATACTCATATCTCATAACTTGATACAGCGCTAACATCGTTGTAAGCGCGTTCTAAATACGGGCCAATGTATATTCCAGTAAACAAATATTAAATAATAAATAATTTACCCATATTAATTATTTAATATTCGTTTATCGCGCATATTCTAAAACTTCGACCCGGCCGAGTAAAATTTGTACCCGAACCGCCAACACTGCAATGATCAATATTCCGATTGTAAACACTCGTTTAGCGCTGAACGTCCGAAATTCTCAAGGTGTGTACCACACTCATAGGACACAAATAAACGTCCCGAATCGGACGGTATAATGCGTGCAACGGTAAACTCGCACTGCGAACACGGCCGTTTGTCTTTGAAGCAAAAGCAAGACCTCGCAGTTTGTTCTCTAACTTCGCGCTCGCCGGAGGACACTCGACGACCGCCCCCCCCTTCCCCCACCCCCCTTCTCCCTCTTTTGGATGTTTAACCTCGAGCAAATACAGCGGAATGCGACACGTAAAGTTGAAAAGACGCGTCGATCTACGTGCTTGGCGATCGCCCATTACGTTCATTTTTCCGGCGTGCCGACAGATAACGTTCGCGTTTGACGATTTACCAATTAGAGGCGAATTAATTACGCGAATGTTACTCCCGATCCGATCCCGCTCCGGCGGATAAGTCGCGCCCGATGGAAATTCGATAAACACGTGTCCCGATAAGATCGCTTTCGAAGCTCGCCTTCGTTTAACCCTACACCCACTGACCCGGCTGTTTCTCTTTCTCTTCTGACTCGCGCGTGCAAACGGTCCGACGAGCCGGATATCGTACACGTATTTTCCACATCGGGAAACGCTTCGACTGCGGAGCGCGAGCGGAGTTTACGAATGCCGCCATCGTGCCATTTGCATACGATCCGTCCGGCCTCACCGACCGGCCGCGTTGTCCTCTCTCTCTCTCTCTCTCTCTCTTTCTCCGTCTGGCGTTACTAAATACCGTGGAATTCGCTTAAACGCGTCCGCCGTTCGCTGTTTTACTACCCCGTTTCCACGGACATTGTACGAGGCGCTCTGTGGTTTTTACCGCTCGCTCTCGTGCACGAGGCTTTTTTTAAGAATGTTGCGCGTTCAGTCAAGTTCTACCGGAGACTATATTTTTAGCGAGATTCAATTAAGCTCGGAGAAAACGCTTGCAATAATATAATCATCGTGCCGTCGTCGTCGGAGTCGAAGTCGGAGTCGTCGGATATCGCGGCTTGAAACAACGCCAATTAAAGTCGTGATCAGTGGTCAATCTGTGTTCTGTAGTAGCGGAAGGCTGAGAATCAACAATAAATAATCGATTGTGAACGTCTGGTCGTCAAAACTGTATTGTTATCGTGGAACATATGTTATCAGGGAAAATAGGGCTTCATAGATGCGAAGTTAGCTCTCCTGTCTTTCGTTACACAGCTCATCATGGACGTTTCATAGTCGAAATTGTAATCGTTATCTAGGAAAATAGGATCCGCGGGTGTGAAGTTGTACCCCTGACTAGAAATCCCATTCCGCGGCATTTCATGTAATTTTGATCGTTACCATTCGTTTAATGATCGCTTCTTAATGGTACGGTAGCCTTTCATGGACGTTTGGTACTGATAAAAGCTTCGTGCTATAATAGACACGATTTTTACGGATTATACGGATTAAGCATAAAACTGCGTGCCATCACTGACATCACGCGGTGTCATAAGCATTCGTGGGCTACGGTAATTGGAACAACCGGAGAGAAATTGGCTCTTCAGCTAGCCAAAAATTGGAAGGACTCGCAACTTAACCGTCCATGGTATTTACGTGGTAATCTCGAAAGATTAAAGGTGTCACTCGGTTGCAATTTTATCGTCCTATTTTCTCTTAGATTCGATGCACGTGTGTGTGTGTGTGTGCGTGTGTGTGTGCGCGCGCCATCACGATGGTTTTTATTCGCCTGAGTGCGCAGACTTTGTCAAGAATCGTTGTTCGCGACGTGATCCACCGACGTTTATTTCCTCGGGAAAACCGAACGATGTCAACTTTTATTTTCTCTCTCTTCTGCTCGTCTCTTTTACTTTTTTAAGTTACACCGAGAAGCGTATAAATTCGAAGGGTACGGCGGCGAACGAAATCGACAGTCCTCGTCGTGATCTTTTTTGTTCGTCGCGCGCGGCAGGAAGCTCTCAGCGAGCGCGGTTTTTCCCGACGTGCATTCGATTACTCTCATAAAAGGGAACGCCATTATTCGCCAAACGCATAAAATTCGATTGCAAGGAACGGAGGAGCGCCGGGGAAGCGAGGGTTAATATCCTTCCTTCCTTCGAGTCGTCTCGCGTCACGCGCGCTTACGCGACGGTTAAGTCTTGGATTATTAAGAAGAAAAGCGCGCTCGCGAGATCGAAAAATTTTTCCCCCAGAATCTCATGTCTGAAACAAACGGACGACGATATGTCGCGTCGGGCGACGTGCGCGCAATGTCGAGCGAATACTCAAAATCCAGATCGAGAAAGACAGAGGAGGAGGAGGAGTAGAGAGAGAGAGAGAGAGAGAGAGAGAGAAAGATTAATCGTCACTCATTTCTCCGCGACCGGCCGTACAATTTTGCGCGCGGTGTGCACTTCATAAATCCCTGGCGCGTTCCATAATTTCCAAAACGTTTCGAAGCGCGTTCCCATTTAATCGCGATAAATAATACGCGGCCCACGATTCCTATACATTACCTATCTCGTGTGTGTGTGTGTGTGTGTGTGAATGTTCCTCCAGGTTCACCGAGTGGCGAAAACGCTCGCGCGGCCAGGACTCAGTGCGGGGGAGGAACGCTAATCGCGTGCGGCGCGGAAACGCGCGGCTGCGGGGATGGAGAGCCCTGCATTATGCTAACGATATTCGGTGAAACGAATGGCCACCCTATGCAAAAAGGCAACGATGTCGTATATTAAAGAAATCCTCTCGCCCTTCGCGTTCGACCCTTCGCGCATACTCATTCGAGCCGAAGAGAACGTCGAGAGAGAGAGAGGGCGGATTTCTCGCCCACCTCCCTCGTTCACTCATGCTCCTCTGTCTGCCCGCCCTTCTTCAGCCCGGAGAGAGTCGCGTTCCATGGGAGGACGAGTATTCAACAGACGCGATAACTTTGTTCCTAGCCCTCTCCGACCTGCCTCACGCAATCCAACCCCCCTCCAACGATGCGCGCCGACGTGTTTTTGCCGCTAGTACCCGGGCACGGGGAATACCAACCAATTAAAAGAACAATGGAGCCTGCAAATACCATTGTCGTGCGCTCCCCGTCGGCCAAGCGTGCTCATAAAGCGCACTTTTTTGTGTACATTTCGGCTTTTTTCTCGAAGTGATAATCACCGAAGGCGGGACAATGTGAGGGGAAACGAACGGGAGAGCCGCAAAGGCAGGTCTCATTTTACACAATATTCTCAGCCGTCTTTCTCCCCCTTCCTCCCCCCCCCTCCTGCTATTATTAATATACTCTTATAAGGAGGATTGAGGTAGTTAAAGAGACGTTAAACCGTCGATTTTTTTCTAGTTTCCTCTCCCTTCCGGGGACTTTAGACAAATTTGTAATTCCCCCGACACTTCCGCGCATAATTATGTTCCCTCTGCGTCGTCATCGGACGCGTGGGACGTTTGGGACAGAAGATTCGAACTGGACTTTTCTTTATTGGACACTTGACCGACTCGATGTCTCTCTCGTGACCATTCGACGCGCGATTTTTAACGTCTCCGTGAGTAATCGTTGAAATGCAAATTCGGTCGGAGTGAAAAATCGCTCGGGGTCAAATGACGTGTCAAATTCCACGTAAAGCTCAATTCACGAATTCGCCGAGATTTTCCGAGAGCGATTGTAACGCGGGAGGCATTAATGTCACGGCAAACACAGCGCGCGGCCGTCGCACGTCTGCACGTTCCTACCTAGTCGGGCAGACGCGCGACTCTGTGCGAGCGTACGTCAGGGATCTGTCTCGGTGTTTAAACATCAGCGGGCGAAAATGAACGCTGCTCGCGAACGCAGGGATAGAGATTACAAGGAAGTAGATCGGAAGTAATGGGCGAAAGGCGGGGAAGGAATGGGCCTCGCCGGCCGAGTGCTGCAACAGCGAGCGAGCGAACGTATTACAGACACGGCGTTCCTCAACACGTCTCTTGCCAAGTCGGATATAACCCGTGGGGACTGTGTATACTCCGAAGAACGTAAG